TATCTTTTGAGCTATTTCTTCAATTCATAAACAGAAAATTCGAATTATCATTACTTTAACGTTTAATCTGATAGAAAACATATCAAATATATATATGTATTTGTTTGTGTTAATTGTCTAGTCCAATGAAATATGTATTTGTTTGTGTTAATTGTCTAGTCCAATATATATAATTGTCCTATCAAGAATGTTAGTGACAATGAAATTTACATATTACTACTGGAGTTTCCAGTGGTAGTGCCTGGCTCTGGAAGTAGTGCTAAATTAGCTATTTCGATGTTTTTTTACCTCTTGTGTGTGTCTTTAAGGGAAGATGTTACACTTTTTCTTACTTTGTTACACGAAAGCCATTCTAGAAGAACTGGATATACGAACTCGTGTACACTGTTATCCTTGAAGCATGTGCAGCTGTTGATGTTTATCAACGTATCATAAAAACAGCAATAGATGGCGCAATCGTCGAGTCCGCGTATGCATAACCTGACGTCGACTCGGAGAAGCTTTGGATACATGTTGAAATCATATTGAATATCTCTGTCCCGTTTTAACAGTCGTGTAATGTTAAGATGACAGTGGGATACAGGCATTTCTCCTTCTTTCAGCTTCAATAGGAAGTTACAACTTCAACAATGAATTTGTATTCATACTCCCTATAGGTCAGAAACTTGTAAAGAGAAACCTTAATGAACCTTCTTTTGTAAAATAATTAAATACGCCATAAAATAATCCCTTAGAAAAAGAATATCAAATCTGGTATTTAGGCCAACTAATACTCCTGCTATACCGTGAGAATAAAACTTCTTAACTAAGGAAATAACTTACTGTAAGTTGTGTAGAATACAGCTTCATATGTATGAGCTCTACTTAAGGCACTATGTATACGTAATGGAATACTTCAACAAAGCAGGAGTGTTCTAAAATTTAAACAGTAATGTCAACAAGGTGGGTTTTATATGAGAATAAATGGATTTATATTGTTGTAATTAGATTTCTTTGGTATTTTATAAACAGTTTCGGGCAAACAGCTATTAAAAAATAATAATAATATAATACAATTGATTGATGAGTTCACTGATGTCATCCAGGGTACAGGTGTAAAAGGCACAACTAAAGTAGAATTTGTTAATTTGACTTTACAGAGAAAACCTACGAAAGTCACTGAGTTACAACCCAGAATCATCAAAAAAGAGTCCTTGTCTGACCCCAAGGTGTGTGTGAAGAAGAAACTAGATAGATTAATCTAGAAAATAGCCACAACTTGAAAAATGTAAGACTCAAAGCTACACGAGAGTTATGATAGAGGGAAGGCAGCTCACTAACAGATCACACTGCCATTTCTTGGGTCACTATTTTAGTGGAATGTGACTGTCACTCTTAAAGCTCCAAAGTACATGAGACTTGAAAGGTAATTTAAACATCAAAACTCTAGATATTAAATAATGAACCACAGAATGAAATTAAACACGGCAGTTATGTCAAAGAAGACAAACTTTACATTTTATTTACTGTTCCATGTGAACACTATATCCCCTTATTCTAACAATAAAAAGGTCTGATGCCCCTCTCCGAAAAATTAAGTCTACAGAAATTAACTGGAAGACCTACCCTAATACAAAAAGTGACGTGAAACAAGTGAGCTTGATAGAGTAAGCTGAGCTCGAAATTGAACCAATGGTCCCCGTTTGGATTAAATATTCGTTGTTTAATAAACAACTGCCAGACAGATAATGGAACCAATAGATGAAACTTCATGTGAAGCTGTTTCCATAGCCACTATAGTTCATCAGACAGAAAGATACTCCGAGGAGGGAAACCAGGAACGAAGCTGAACACAGCGGACTAAATATAACCACAATTGATGTTAAGAATCAAGTTAAGGGAAACCAGGAACGAAGCTGAACACAGCGGACTAAATATAACCACAATTGATGTCAAGAATCAAGTTAAGAGAACCGAAGATTACTCTTTTAACTGGTGTGCTTACGTAGACGTATCAGAAAGTGCATCTTAGGGATGGAGATTTTGAAGGAGTGTGGTTATGAGTTCAGGTTTTCCCCAAAAACACTTTCGTATTTTGTAATAAAGAAATTTCATTTCATTTTCTTAGGAACGAACGTCTAAAGTGTAAATAAAAGCAATAAGATCAGATGATAATGATGCATGCTATCACCGTGTCATTATAGGACACTAATATAAAAGTGGGAGCACGTTTGAGAGTATTATGTGCAGATGGTTGTGGTTTGTTGTGAAATTAGAGAGATCTGGAAAAAGCAGTGTTGAAAGTTTCGACAGAAAGAGCAATTTAAGTCTTGTTCCAGTTAAGTAATGAACATAAAAACATCGTGTTAGATTTTCCTGGTAAAGAATTTATTTTACGAAGTTAAGAAGCTGAAACACTAGCATGGGTGATTGCTAATGATCACGTAACGAGATATGAGCTTTACCCACTAAATGCTGGTTGATTATGATCAAGAATAAAATGGTGAATCAATGCTGATTGCCAGAACTGTGTTTGAACAATTTGTCATGTCTGAGAAAAAGAGAAAATAATTAAGGTCTACCAGATTAAGATGAGCGCTAATGAATCTTCATGTCTCACACTATTCGTTTAAGGAAGGTCATGAACGTTGAGAAGCTAAAGTTAGCCAGTAATAAGATGAGGAGACACTAGGAAACTAAAATTAGCCAGTAATAAGGTTATGAGACGCTACTGAGG